TAAGACATAATTTTTGATCTCTTCTTTTCCAATTATTACTCCTTTAATTTCCTTCTCGGCTTACTGCTCTTTCAAGAGTTTTCAAGCACTATGTTGAAAAGGAGTGGAGATAGTGGACAGCCTGGTCTGGTTCCTGATTTCAATGGGAATGCTTCCAGTTTTTCTCCATTTAGAACGATATTGGCTGTGGGTTTGTTGTATATGGTTTCATTTGTTGTTGCTTTTCAAAAGTGTGTTGAGTTGCAATGTTAAATCATTTATTTGTGTTCTTTCTGATTTTTTAATGTAGGCATTTAGAGCTATAAACGTCTCTCTAAGGACTGCTTTCAACGTGTCCCAGAGGTTTTGTTGTGTTGTATTGTCCTTTTCATTTAGCTCCAAAAATACCTTTCTTTCTTAATTTCTCCTTTGACCCGTTCTTCATTCAGGAGTGTGTTGTGTAATCTCCATGTGTTCATGTAGTTATGAGGGTTTCTTCTGGTGTTGATTTTAAGCTTTCTTGCATTGTGGTCTGATAGGATGCATGAAATTATTTCAGTCTTTTTGTATTTGTTTAGGTTTGTTTTGTGCCCCAGTATATAGGCGATTTTGGAGAAAATTCCGTGGGGCGCTGAATAGAAAGTCTATTCTTTGATGCTTGGGTAGAATATTTGGTAAATATCTGTTAGGCCCATTTAGTGTATGGTGTTGTTTAATTGAAATGTCTCTCTGATAATTCTCTGTCCTCTTGAGCTATCTAATGGAGACAATAGGGTATTGAAGTCCCCTTCTGTTAATGAGTTGGGATTAATCTGGGTCTTAAAATCCTATAGTATTGTTTTTATGAAGTTGGGTGCACCAGAGTTTGGCAAATATATGTTCATGATTATAATATCTTCTTGGTCAATTGTTCCTTTGATCAGAGTGAAGTGACCCTCTTTATCTCTTCTGATTAGTTTTAGTTTAAAGTCTATTTTGTCAGATATTAGAATTGCAACACCTGCTTTTTTCTTAGTACCATTTGCTGTGTATGTTTTTTTTCCCATCCTTTCACCTTAAGGTAGTTCCTGTCCTTGAAAGTGAGATGAGTTTCTTGTAGACAACAAAAAGATGGGTTTTGTTTCTAAATCCATTCAACTACTCTGTGTCTTTTGACACAGTTCAGTCCATTGATATTTAAAGTTATTAATGAAAGATGTGTACTGATTCCTGTCATTTTTATTTCTGTTCCCATTTTTGGTGTGACCATGCATTTCCATAGTTATACCTTCATTAAGTTTCTTCCTGTAATCCCTTGGGTGTAGTTGTTCCTTTCTTCAGCTCTTTTTATTGCTCTAAGAACTCTTTGAAGGGCTGGTTTTATGGACATGAATTCTTTCAGCCTATTTTTGTCATGGAGGTTTTTTCTTTCCCCTTTGACATTTGGCTGACATTAGACGTTTGGCTGGGTAAAGTAATCTGGGTTGGCATCTGTGGTCATTTAGAACTGGGAATACTTTGGTCCAGGCTCTTCTGGCCTTCATAGTTTGCCCTGAAAAGTCTGCTGTAATTCTGATGTGTTTTCCTTTATATGTGACTTGTTGTTTTTCTTTTGCAGCTTTCTGTATTCTCTCTTTGTTTTGTACATTCAATGTTTTTACTATAATGTGCCTTGGAGAGTTCATTTTCTGGTCCTGTCTATTTGGTGTTTTATATGCTTCTTGTATTTGTATGGGCGTGTCTTTATTTTTGGGAAATTTTCTTCTATAATCCTGTTGAAGATCTGGTCCATACCATTATCCGAGATTCTTCTCCTTCCTGTATGCCTGTGATTCGTAAGTTTGGTCTTTTTATGGTGTCACACAATTCCTGCATATTCCATTCTTGTGTTTTCTTAAATTTTTCATAATCTTTGCTTGAGTGGTCTAATTCATCCACTTTATCTTCTAGTCTTAATACTCTGTTTTCCATTTCATTCATCCTATTGGTGAGGCTTACTCCTATTGTTTCTAATTGGCTTACTGAGTGTTTCACTTCCTTCTTTATTTCATTCAGCCTAAGCATTCTTCAATATTTCTCTTTTCTGAATTCATCCAGAAGTTTATACCTATCTTTCAGTTCTTTGATTTCTTTGTTTGTGTGTTCTTTAAATTCACTGAATTCTTTTATCATGTTTATAATTGTTCTTTTGAATTCCATGTTCTGTGTTAATCTCTAGGGGGTTCTCATTGTACTCCTCTACAGGACTGTTGGTACTTGGTGGGGATATATTATTTGGGTTTTTTATTTTATTATTTTTTCACTGTGACTTTGACATGTGGAGTTCTTTTGTAGTTTCTGATTCTTGTGTGAGACTCAAGCCTTTCTTTGTTGAATTTAGGTCTGCTTCTTTTTGTAAACTTTATATGCCTTTGTAGTTAACTTGAAAAGCTGGTTGGTCTAGGCTTCAGGCTCTCTCTTTTGATTTTATATTGGAGGGGCCAAATTACTTTCTTCTTGCTGCTCAGGAGTTCTCACAGAGGTCCAAGTTGGATGAGGATCAGATGCTCTCAGGCTTTCTCCTAAGGTCTGGGTCCCTCCGGGAAAGATGCTGGCCTCAGGAATTTGGGGGCTGGGCTGGCCTGGGAGCAGGGCCCAGGAAACTTGCTGGCCCCAGCATGCTGGAGGGCTGAGCTGCCCAAGGATGCAAAGGGAGGTGGAGGTGGGAAGAGGCCCCTAGGGCTCCTGAGGACTACAGGGAAGAATTGGGTTGGTCTGGATGCAAAGGATCAGGAAGCAGTGGGGAGTCTGAGCCACGTGGTCCATCCAGAGGTTTGGGGTGCCAAGATAAGAAATGGGCGGGTACCTAGGCTAGGAGGAGAGATGGGGTCAGGGAGCTGGGAGGGTAATTGAGGCTGGGGGAGTCAAGGCACACTTACCCAGGAAAGATGCCGGCTCCAGGAGGCTGGTGGCTCTGCCACCCAGAGATGCCAAGAGTATTTTAAATTTATTTTAATTAATTAATTAATTAATTAAATTTTTTATTTTTTATTTTATGTGTATGCGTGTGTTGCCTGCATGTAGGTCAGTGCACCCCTGTCATGCAGTGTCCGCGGAGGTCAGAAGAGGCTGTCGGATCCCCTGGGACTGGAGTTACGGACAGTTGTTAGCTGCCATGTGGGTGCTGGGATTCGAACTCGGGTCTTCTGCAAGAACAGTCAGTGTTCTTAACTGCTGAGCCATCTCTTCAGCCCTGCCAAGAGTATTTTAAAAAGTGAGCCTAGTGCAAAAAAATAAGTTTAATATAGTTTTGTATTAAATTGGTTCAGTAAGTTTCAAATGTTAAAATAAGTTTTTCTTTTAATTTTAAATTAATTGTTTTTAAACCATTGGTACTTTGAGAAGTTTTGAATTCCATTTTGTTTTGTGAGGCACGATCTCAGTATCTAGCCCTGGCTGGCCTGAAACTCACTGTTGTAAATTAGGGTAGCCTTGAATGTGTGACTCTTCTCCTGTCTCAGCCTTTTCAGTACTGAGATTACACTTGTGAAGTGCCACACCTGGATAAGATTTTTATATGCAACTTAGTAAATATGTATTTCAAAGGCAAATAAGCCGTTTTTTCCTTATGAAAATCATGCCCTATTCCTTGGTTTTAACATGGTGTTCAGTGTCTGGTTTATGTATGCTACCTATGCTAATATAAATGCTTAGTGACCTGTGACTCTTCTGTTGTAGAAATGGCTATTATATGAATAAACTATAATATGTTCTCACAGATCTATATTTGCTGCTGTCGTATTTTTTCTATACACAGCACAGTGTAGTGAACTCAGGGAGTTAGTAGCTTGCTTATATCCTTTGAATAGGTATCTCATTGATAACTATGGCTGATGTTTATCTAGTGACTAGAACTAAATGTTTAGACAGGAATAATGTGGGTAAGTAATAAGACTCTAGATTCGTCTCCCATCTAGGGAAGAGTATTAAAGAGCTTGCAGGTGTCTATGGGATAATTTCCAGTGACCTACTAACTTTTTAATGCTATTTAGGAATAGAATGACAATTAACCATTTTAGATTTGTGCACCTAGCTTTCTTTTTAGTTCTACTTGAGGGAAGACATCTGATCAAATATAAATTTCTACTTCACTTTTGTTTCCTTTTGGCAGTAAAGCCAATAGTTTCTTTAGTGAATAAATAACTTAGCTCCTGTTTTATTATTTACTAATAATTATTAACCACATCTAAAGCATCATATCTAATGTTCAGGAATTTCTTAGTAAATAAAAATACAGCTAGAAATAATTTTTTTTTTTGTGTGTGTGTGTGTGTGTGTGTGTGTGTGTATGTGTGTATGTGTGTCTGTGGTGTTGGAAATTACAGAGTCTTTTGTATGGTAGGCAGTTACTCAGGTATAGCCCCAACCCTTGGAAAGGATTTTTTAACTTTTGAAATATTCTGTGGCTAAGTAGAGTATTTGTGGAAGCGTCTAAGAGGTCCAAATCAGAGGGATAGAATATTTTCTTCAAATTACACAAGCATATAGTGGCAAATAAGCTCTGCCCTTCCATTTTTCAGCCTTTTTCTTTACTGTTCTGTATTTTAGAACATGGAATTTTTTTTTGAAACAGAGTCTTCCTGTAGCCCCAGCCTTCCTGGAAGTTACTATATAGA